AAGTAAGGGGACCAACAGTTCCAGTGTGCCTGGGACTCCAGACTTTCTGATCCAAAACTGGGACAGGCTCAGGCAAACCAGGAAGGTCAGTCACCCTCATTACTTCAACTGCCTTCACCTTTGTCACATATTTTTGTGACCCTGAGAAAAACATAACTTGTAACTTGCAGTCTTCACCTATAAAATTGGAATAAAAATATTTGTTGCATAGAGGTTTTTGTTTCTTTTCTTTTAAAGGACTTACTAGGAAACTATCCAACTCAGGTTTGGCTCGTAGCGAACTAGGTCAACCTGAATTCTTCCTTTCTCCCTCACCTTCCTTTCCAACACTACTATGACGTAGAGCAGACATTGTTCTCCTTATTTTATTGATGAGAAACTTTGGACACTGATGCTTTAGTTAACTTGCTCAAGGCAACAGAGCTGTAAATGGCAAAATCAGGACTTGAGGCAGCCCTGATAGAAATCAGAAGGTGCTGTATTCCGTGCTTTCTAAACTATACTCAGTGCAATTTCAAGTGTCAACGAATATTTGGAAAGTGGCCATTCATAGGAAATTTTGTAACGCTGTGATAATGCAAAAGCCTAGTACTTCCTTTTTGAATGGCATTTCTTTTTCTGTCTTCACACCGTGCAGGTAACATATGTTTCGGAACAGGTGCTATCATTATGAAGTTCCATAAAATTTTATATTATAGCCCATCTATCCTCTTTGAATATTCATTAAATTTGAAATGTATATAGAACTCCTTTTCATCTCCTCTTTTTTTTTTGGCTGTAAGACTACCCTTTCAGGTATCAGTGATTATAGTAACGCATTATTGAATAATATCTGATCACTGTTGGGCCTAACAAACATGTTTAAAATGCATATTTTATTTTTGAAAAATAAGTCTCAATAAAGATACATTTGAAATGGAATAAAAAGCACATTTGGAAAACGGACCATAAAAACGTTTTCCCAGATTTCTGCTTCAAGTGTGGATAGGAGTGATGGTGATATAGCATCACAGAACATAATGGTCCCCAGTGAGATATAAATTTCCAACTCAGCTGAGGGATTTCACAGAACATCAGGGCAGAGATGATGCATTTGTTTTCGAAGAAGGAGATCTTACATCACCATCACGTTCCCTTCAAATGAATTTACATCTAGTTTAGTGAATGGTAGAATAAAACTGAAATATTTAACTGTCCAATCAAAAACGTGATATATTTGTTGAGAAAAATAAATGAGCCACATATGCAGAACATAAACAGGAAGGAGGTACGGATACAGGATCTGCTGATTTTCTCTCAGCCCCGAATTGTGTCTATGATTGTGACTTTTAATTTACAGTGATAATAGGCTTGAGACTTGATTAGATTTGAACATTTGAGAAAGGTTGGAAGGATTTTTCTTCTTAGTGAGCTCATGCCCTGAGTCATGATAACACACTGCGTGGACTTAAATACTTTTAGTTCATTCAGCCTCATCTTATTTTTTAACGTAGTTCACCAACATTTATAGACCTCTGAAACATTTAGCAGATGGCTTTATAGATTTCTCATAGTAATGTGAGCAGGGTAACTGAAGGAAGAGTCTGCCTTTTAACTATGATCATTACTCTCAAAAACAAACTGCAGTACAGGTTTCTGTTTAGCAGTGGATGGATTGCTGTATAAGACAACAAACTAATTGGTTTTTTTTCCTCTAGGAGAATAGAGACAGTCATATAAGTGAGGCAGGAAAAAGCCGATGTGATATCTCCATTTCTCCAAGAAGTCTTTTCCTAAGTAGATATGACTTAAAGCAATACTTTTGATATAATACAGTTTTTTTAAAAAAAGGTACATGGTTATTGTAGAATACTTGGAAAAGAAATATCATGTATGTTTCCTCCCTGTTATTCTAACCATTTTGTTAATTTTTCTTTCCTTTTTTTGTTGAAGGGATATAACCATTGTTTATTACTCTCACTTTTTGTTGAAAAAACTTTAGTTGTAATACTGTTTTTCACTTATTTTATAGCTAACATTATTTGTATTGTTACATATTATTATTAGTAGAACTTTTTAACGGCTACATAATACTGCCACAAGGCAGAAAGCATAGTGTATTTTTTTTTTAAGAATTTTTTTTTGATGTGGACCATTTTTAAAGTCTTTACTGAATTTGTTACAATATCGCTTTTGTTTAATGGTTTGGTTTTTTGGCTGCGAATCATGTGGGATATTAGCTCCTCAACCAGGGATCGAACCCACACCCCCTGCACTGGAAGGAGAAGTCTTAACCACTGGACTGCCAGGGAAGTCCCAGAAAGCATGGTTTTTAAACGTTCCTTTACTCTCAGAAATCTAGGTTCCTTCTAATTTTTGCATATTACAAATGATACTGAAATGAATAGCTTGTGTGAAAATTCTCTGTATTTGAGGATATTTTCTCAGGATAAGTTCCCAGTAATTGAAAATTACATTTTCAATCCAAGAATATAAGTTGCCTAAATGGATATGTAACAGTATATTTTGCTAATATCTTGCATGTACAGTTTGAAGGAAGAGGTTGCAGATTTTGGAAAAAATAGTGATGGGTTTTATTTAGATCCATCTAGTAGAGGTATTTCCAGGAAACTTAACTGCAGTCATCCAGGAGATATTCTAGATTTGTCAAGAAGGACTCACGAATAGGCCTGCAGTGACGTTGCTTAAGAAAATTTAGCAGTAAATGTGAATATCTTATCACAGTTAACAGCATCAATCACAGTTCTGCGGGCTCAAATCATTTTCTTTTTCTTCTTTCTTCTTACCAAATTTCCCATCAAATTTGATTCATTCACGGGATAAAATGAAACTGATTCAACTAAACTATTTCATGCGAAGATTAAGTGATAACTTCACATTACCATTTTTAGCATTAAAAGCTCAGAACAATTTCTGCGTGTGAGGAGAGGATAATTCGTACCACATAAATTACTTTCTCATTTGCTTTACTGTACCATCTTTCATATTAAAAATAAACAACACAGGCGTCTATCCACCACTGGACCGATTTATAACACTCTAATGATATTTTGCAATTATCTGTTTATGTATCTTTTCACTGAACTGGGAGGCAATGTGAGTCCCATAAAGATAGAATCAGTATCAAGATCTCTGGCCTTGCTTCCTCCCTTCCTTCCTCCAGCTGTGCCCTGGGCTCTGAGAACTCAGTGGTGACATAAGTTTTCTGCTTCCCTAGAGTAACTGTTCTATTGGGGAGGAGAGATGAAGTAGACAAAGAATGCATGAAGAAGATACTCAGATGCTGGTAGAGACTATGAAGGGGATGAACAAGGTCCCATGCAGGAGAGTGACTGGGTGGCTGGGCAGGAAGGACACTGCTGAGGAAGTCATGTTTGAGTGAATGGATGCGATTTAAAGCCATGGACTGAATGAGATCACTTCAAGAGAGCAAGGAGGGTGATGTGAAATGGAAAATTTAGAAAATCTGTCTTAACACATGTTCTTGTGAAGGAAACAGAAAAAGATGGTGGAAATTGGAAGGAAATATGGACCTAAAAAGCAGTTATTATATCTATCGATATCTATCTATCTAATCTGTCTATTATCTATCCTCATCATCCACCTATCTATCAAATCTACCTACCTACCTATTGTTTTCTTCTTTTAGTTGTGGTAGGAGATACTGGAGCAGTAGAATTGCTAATAGAGATGATCCAATAGAGAAAAAAGGCTGACGCGGGATATTGAGAGTATAAGTGCAGAACAAAATGTCCTCAGGGGCCTGAGGGGCGGAGTCAGTGTGAGGCTGGAGTGGCTGTCCTGAAGAAGGGGCGTGGCCACCTCAAGCGATGCCAGCTCAGGACGGAGACGGAGGGAAGGTGGAGCTCGGTAGTTTTCGGTGGAAAGGTCAGCTGGTTCTGTCTGTTGGCTTCTATTTTCTTGGCGACCGGGAAGGCAGGGGAGTCAGCAGGAGAGAAAGAGAAGTGTATAGAAGAAGGTATAGAATAGTCACTTTTGAGAGTGGAAGAACCAAGTTACTGAAGAAAGAGGATTATTTGGAAATGTTGAGGTCCTGTTTCGGATGTGTGGTCAAAAATTTTAGTGTCACAAAATCAGTGTGATATGGCATTTTCCCCCCAGCTTCACTGTACTTCTGTTACCTAAAGACTGAAAAATACTGAATAACAGAAATTTCCTCAGCAGTAATTAAAGCTTTTATGTTACAATGGGATTTATCATTATTGACAGCAGCATCGAACGTAGATAAATGGCAGTATATACACATGCCATAATAATACTTATCCAGCCCCTGACCATGCCTAGTACACATGTATTGATAGTGGTTTTTTTCTGCTTCGCCCCAGGCTCCTAAAATAATCCTGCTGCCCCACTGGGATCTGAATACCATAAGCTTGTAACCAGGACTATCATAGATTATTGAAGCCTGAGGGGACCTAGAAATCATGAAGTTTGGTTGTTCTTCTAATTGAGTATCATAATCACCTAGGAGAGTTTAAAAACAAACACTCAAAAGATCACTGCAGATCTATATGAACGTCACTAGGGTGGAATTAGAGATTAAGGATCCCCCAAATGATCAGTATTCTTTCCATATTGCCAGGTGAATCTCTCATTAGACAGTAGAGCAATATTGATTTGTTAATTTCATAATTTCCCATATCACCAGGTCAGGCCATAAAGTGATGCTCTAATGAGAAACTAGTTAGAAAAACAAAAACAAAAGTGAAAACATCAACACAATTATTATGAAAAGTCTCACCTGAAATAGATGAGATGTTAATATCATTGAAAATGTTTAGAATCAAAGGGACAGTCCATAGTTCCAATATTCCATACTACTCCTCTTACATTCTTAGGTTTCTAGAGATAGAAATTGTGCCTAAATTCTTGGACCCTGATACGGTATGTATGGTGGGCAACTGGAATCTTGATTGCCAGTGTACAGTGAGCCTCTGAATTTTCTCCCATTCTTATGAAATGTGTGTGGTACTTTTCAGTATACTTCTGCTCTGACCTATGACGCCGTTCAAGTGATGACCGAAGCTTTTCGAAACCTGCGGAAGCAGAGAATTGAAATCTCCCGAAGGGGGAATGCAGGAGACTGTTTGGCAAACCCAGCTGTGCCCTGGGGACAAGGGGTAGAAATAGAAAGGGCCCTCAAACAGGTCAGTCACTGAAAATGATTGTAATGTGACTTTAACGATGGCCACTATTTTTTCCTGCTGAATTAGTCATTCTTGTTTTATCCCTTCTGTTTTATAAAGAGGGAATATTATTTCCTAACTACACAAAGGTAGGTTGAAGAACAGAAACCTAATAAGTGTCATTTTCTTGACTTGCATCCCGGGAGAGTCATCTGGTCAACCACTCTGTATCTGGTGGAAGTGAATTTATAATTGTGCTCCTTTCCCATTTCCTCATTAGGTGCAGGTTGAAGGTCTCTCAGGAAATATCAAGTTTGACCAGAATGGAAAAAGAATAAATTATACAATTAACATCATGGAGCTCAAAACGAATGGGCCACGGAAGGTAAATCATTAGTGAATTGAAGGCATTCTCTCTGTGTGAGGAGGTGAGTTAGTGAACCCATCACCTCATCTTCCAGAATCCTGGAGACATATATTCACATAGCTGGATTCAACAACTTTCAGAAACATATATTTTAAAATATGTTTTCTAAATAAACTCTGTTTATTTCTGGTAAGTAATCCTGAAATGTAATTTTAAGATATAATAAATAAAACTGTTATACTTTTTTTTTTAGACAGAGGTAGAAAAAGAGTTTAATGAGAAGAAAAAGAACTGTTCCTGAAAGATTATGGTTCGGGAGACCAAACATAGCTGGTGCAAATGTGAATGTAACTGTTCAAGTCAACATTTTTTTTTCTTCTGTTATGGCTGAAATGCCACTGTTTGGATTTTATTTATGTTTCTATATGATCACTCCCACACAAATTACCCTTGGAGAGTATGAAAAGTGAACACGAAGAGACAAGCCGTTTCTAAGAATTGTTTTTGTTTGTTTATTTTTATAGTCTCTTTCTATTGCTATTAGATTCACGTGCATAAAAGGTACATCTCTGTTTAGAACAAGCCTAGTTAGGGTAGGTGTAATTTCAGATTCAAACATGGGTTTGAAAATAACTCAGTGCTTTGCCAGTAGGAAGGTCCTATGTCCAGGTGCCCACCTTCTGTACCCTTTTGCAGATCGGGTACTGGAGCGAAGTCGACAAAATGGTTGTTACTCTCACCGAACTCCCTTCTGGAAACGATACTTCTGGGCTTGAGAATAAGACTGTGGTCGTCACTACGATTTTGGTAATTAGCTACCTATGCCTCTGTTTTACATTCTTTTTCTTAAGAAAAGTATCTGTGAACTAGAATCGCTGCTTATATTTAGGAGAATAACTGATACAGTGATGCTTTTGAATGTTTTAGTCATTCGCTGCATGCTTATTCTGTCAGAAGGACTCACAAACACAGCAACGGCACTCAGAATACGTCTTATCCTCTTCAGGACTGAACTTCGGCTCCACAGATAATTGGTAACCTGGTGCTCACATGGGTGAACACCTAGGGCAAGCCTGGAAGAGCCTTCCTTGTATTCCTCCCATGTTTGACCTTTCCACTCCCACACAATTCTGGGTCCGTTCTGTCCTTAGATTTGTTCCATGGTTTAATGATGTTGTCAACTTCTCTATATTCGTATGGAAAGGTGAACTCCTGAAAGACAAGGGTGATCTCCCTTCCTTTTAACCCCGAGTCTCAACACAGTAGTTGGCACATAGCTAGGGCTGAGTGGATGTATATTGGCTGGATGAGACAAAATTGAACTGGATCCTGAACGTCGAGGCTTTGGATAGATGGACGGCAGATGTCGATTATGACAAGAAACTGTTGGGGAAATGAAATGGAGGAAATACGTGATTTTGCAGCAAAACAGTCTGATTTCGTTTTACTAAGTTGTGATGTAGTGAATTTGTGAGATTCATTATGGTAACAATATTGAGAAGAAAACGTAGGTTAACAAGGGATTTGGATAAGAACATTGGTTGGCACTTGGAAAAGTCTTAATAAATGTAAGCTAGACGTTTGAGGATTTTTGCCTCAATCATGCCACTGAGAGGAGGTATCTCACTGAACCCCAAATATCCTCAGTGCCACTTTCCAGTGGAGAAAATTGGGGGGCTGGTGTTGAGTCACGTTTTCATGCTTCCTTTTTATGGTGTTCACAGGGGGGATGCTACTCCCTAGCTATCCGTGTAGCGTAATTCTAGGATATTCTATCTCAAAGAGCAAGTGAGCTCTCAAGTCTGAGAGGGTAGATTCCATACATCACTATGGCAACGGCTCTTTGAGTCTGGGCACCACTGATCATGGACCTGATTTCCACAAGAACCTTATCCTCGAACTCGTAGTGGCACAGGGTTTTGGGTGAAGGCTGGTTCTTTGGAGTCAGGGGAGCCCTAACTTAGAATAAGAGAGTGGTGGATCCAGAGTTGACTAAAACAGATGTTAAACCACATTATTCCTCTCTAAATACTAGGACTACAAGCACCACAAGGGGACATACTAACAGTTTGTGCTTTTGAGTCTCTTGTTTACTTTGGTATGGCCAGGTGCCAGCCATGTGCATGAAATATAATGAGAGATAGATGAGGACCTTTGATCAGAAGCATTATGCTTCATTTTTTCCCAGTCGTATTTTCCACTATCTGTATTCTACAACGTCTCTGGCTTACAGGTAATAATTAAACCAGAAGATTTGAGTGGATGTGAGTAGATCGGTAACACAGTTGTTTTGATCAACCAGAGCCCTTTCTTTCCATATAGGAATCTCCATATGTTATGATGAAGAAAAATCATGAAATGCTTGAAGGCAATGAGCGCTACGAGGGCTACTGTGTTGACTTGGCTGCAGAAATAGCCAAGCATTGTGGGTTCAAGTACAAGTTGACCATTGTTGGGGATGGCAAGTATGGGGCCAGGGATGCAGACACGAAAATTTGGAATGGGATGGTTGGAGAACTTGTATATGGGGTAAGTACTGCGCTTCTCAAAGGTAAAGTCATTACGTTTGAACTCTTGTTGAGAGAATGCTTGCCTTCCATGCAAAGTACCAATGTCTGAGATGGTGGGTTTCCCACATTGCTCTAGGAATGCTGTGTTATTTCCTTGTGCACATTTGAAGATGAAGGATGAAGTTAGAAGCAAATATGCAGATGGAGACAGGCATCTCACCTGTCTTGAAGCCTATGGGCCATATGCATTGTTCAGAGATTGCCACGGCATAGAGGCAGATGTACTTACCGTAATCAAGCCAGAAGGGTGTACTCTGTATTTATAAACAGGAGGGATATTTGGGGAACTAATTGCTTTTCTTCTGTTAAGTATGTACTGGGATTCCACCAGGGAAATGATTATTCCCAGTTTCCTGATGTCCTTCCCTTCCCTTTGATCAAATAACGTAACCACGATTCCTCTCTGACCGTGACTCCTGGTTCTATTATTTTCCTTTGTTTCCCTTACAGAAAGCTGATATTGCAATTGCTCCATTAACCATCACCCTTGTGAGAGAGGAGGTGATCGATTTCTCAAAGCCCTTTATGAGCCTCGGGATATCAATCATGATCAAGAAGCCTCAGAAGTCCAAACCAGGAGTGTTTTCATTTCTTGATCCGTTAGCCTATGAGATCTGGATGTGCATTGTTTTTGCCTACATAGGGGTCAGTGTAGTTTTATTCCTGGTCAGCAGATTTAGCCCCTACGAGTGGCACACTGAGGAGTTTGAAGATGGAAGAGAAACACAAAGTAGTGAATCAACTAATGAATTTGGGATTTTTAATAGTCTCTGGTTTTCCTTGGGTGCCTTTATGCAGCAAGGATGCGATATTTCGCCAAGGTTGGTTACTCACCTGCTTCAACTTTGTGCATTTTAGGTCTCGAGTGGACATTCATGGTGTTTATGAATTCACTGTAAAGAAGTTAGCAGCCGCCGACTACCTGTCCTAGCAGCGTAAGACTCGTGAGGACAGACTCTTACCATCGGCGTAAGCCTGTGAAATATTTGAGCAATGTTCTTTGAACGTTGATCCTATATTTCCCTGGTGAGATTATACACACCATGGAGAGGCTATAAAATGCATAAGGTTCCCATCATTCCATGCCTTCTTGGAGGGGTACCGTGTTTTTGCTGCATATTCTCATTTTACAGTCATCTGTGTTTTGCTCCACAGACCTGTATATGGGAAAATGGGCAACATTACTTACTAACTACAAAAGCGACACAACTCCATTTGCACACATCTCATCTCTCTCTCTCTTTTTTCCTCCCCCCCATTATTAGCTCATGGAAATGACATGAGAGAGATATTTATAAAATTTGTTTTTTTTTTAAAGGTTAGGTTGCTGGGTTAAAAAGAATGTATGATAATATATTTTCCAAGTATCTAGAAATATATAGGTGGGTAATAATGACGACTGATTGTTACAAATGCTTGTGCCATATTGAATAGCAATACACATACAGGATGGAATAAATTCATACATCCCTATTCTCATTATAATATTTTAATTCCTGCCCTAGAATGCCTAAATATAATGAATGTATCCCAAAACACACATTGCCTTTATTCATGTCACGTACATGACTAAGAATGATAGCCATGTCTGGTTCTTCAGAGGAATAAATCATACTTTTCCTAATGAGATTGCTTTCACATGTAAAGCCTATATGATTATCGATCTACCGGCACATTTTAATTTGGGCTCAATTACCCTCCTTTGAGTCTATGGGTATCTTAATAACTGAGGCAATGGCTTCTTAAATACTATTTCATTATTGTTAGTTTTTGAGCACTTTGGGGATAAGAAGTGATTAATTTCAAAAACCTATATGTGAAGCTCAAAATTTTGTATCTTCCGCGATCTTTTCTGTATACTACACCCATCAAGATAAAGGGAATATATCATATATGCAGAAATTATCAATGACCTACTTCTCAGATAGCAGGGCACATTCTTATGAATTTTATGGATCTGAACAATCGTAATTCCATCAAATTCCCTGTGGCTTCTCTATGGAACTGCACTAAGTTAGAACTATATCAATGGTACTTGCATTGCATATATAGAGAGATATATAATTTTAATGTATAGCATATAATAATAATTATTACATACTATATATATATATATATAATTATGACCTCTGACAAAACATATAAGATTCATAGTTTCATCTCTATAGTTGATCTGATTGAACTTAAAGGCATAAAGAGAAGTTTCTAATGATGAAGGAGGAAAATACTAACCAGATTGGAATCTCAGAGAACACTGTGGCTCATAATAATAATGAAGTGATCCATCTTTGGTAAGAAGGCTCTTGAAGTATGATGTTACCATAGTCCTGAGATATCAGGCAGTTATCCTAAGGTTCCACAAACTATGCTCTGCCTTTTGAATCAGCAGGAGAAGCATGTGAAGGTTCCTTAGGACACAGGACATATCGACCTGGGTTCCCATCGATGGACCCAGGTTTGTTTGCCCCGCTCCTCATGCACCAGGGCTCTGAAGGTTTTGGCCTCCAGTGCTTGTCTAGGAGCAGAAAACATATTGGCGTATAGGAGCTGGGGCACAAGGGACATTTAACAACCTGTGTTTTCCCAGGGTCCACCATGACATAGTGACATTCTAATTTTCAACAAGCCTGCTTCCTAAAATATTATCTTTTTTCTTCATTTGTGATTTCATTCATGAGTCATGACTCACTAAACTTCCACATGTAATCATTTTTATTTCCTGGTAAGATGTATCAATTTTAGATAGCATATTTTTCCTTGTTAGCATTTTTTTGGCCACAGAATATATATGAATAGATATATGCATATATATATAAGCAAAATTCACTTCATTAAAATCTTCAAGCATATGTATCTTTCACTTTATGGTATACGTGCATTTACCAATTGAACTTACTACCTAATATTGGGAAATTCAAGGAGTTTTTTAAATGAACCAAACTATCATTTTTTAGAACGCAATGATGGTAACCCTAGATTAGGAAAGAATAGAGCAGCTTAGTACCTAAAAAATCTTAATAATAATGTATGAAATCCACAGATCACTTTAGAGATGCTCTTTGTATATTTTAAACGATATTTATCAACTTTTTCCAAGTAAAATATGGTATGGAACTCTATTATTTATATGAGTAGAACACATTTAAATTTTAATATAGAATGGTTTATTGAACTGAATTGGTCATTGCCTGAAATTAAGTTTAGAATACGTTAACTGTAGTTTTGTGGAGACTAGGACCAAAGAATTATGAGAGCAAAACGTTGTAAAGTTGACTCTTATTCTCCGGTTTTCTTCTTCTTTTTTTCCCCCCCCAATATCCTTAAAGGATTAAAATGATTAAAAATTTTCATTCTTAAAATAATTATTTAATAGAAATTTAAAAGAAATGGCAGAATATGTGCATTTATTTGCTCCATTAGTGCAGATACTGAGAGACGAACGTTTTATTTTTAATTAGAAAAACATTTTTGTCTGTCACCATGAAACATAATATTGAATTTGCTCCTCTGCATAAAATTTCTCAGGAACTCCAGAATCATAATTGATCCTTTGAAAACACTTACAAGTAAATAATAAATTGCTCAAGAATTTTCTGTTTTGAATAATGCACAAGTCAAATAAATTTTGGGGGTTATCTCACACACTGTAAATAAACTGGCATATTTAATTAAATTTACAGCTAGAACAGAATGACTTATAAAAATGATTCTCAAATATATTACAAATAAACCTGAAATGTATAGTATCAAAAGCAATTACCATGCAATCATTTTGTTTTAAGGGCTGTGAGTAGGCAGATACTGAATCTACCCTCTTCAGTACAGGTTACATGTCATACAATTATACCTTCCATTGTGATGGAATAAATAGTGAACATTTTGAGAGTGGCTGTGTCTACATAGGGTTTTTCCAAAATCAAAATGTATTTAATATCCTTTTCAGAATATAAGTGAGACTTGTTTAACTTTTTTCCATTCTATCATATTTGTTTCATTCTTTGCAACTCTTAGAGACTGGTAAAGGCTCTTAATTATATTATTATTATTTTTTCGTTGCTTGTGTGCTCTCTCTCTTTTTCTCTTTTATTTTAGCTGCAGATGTTTTTATCTAAAAAATCTTTACTTTTAGCTTCACCCCTTTTCTTGACTGCTTGAGTAGTTTATTCTACAAATACGATCTAATAATTTGATGTAGTGTCTATGTTTCATCAAAAATATTTCTTTATATTTAGTTTAGTTTAGGAGGTTTAGTTTAGGTCATAAATTGGCACATTTTCATGATTTAAATTTTTAGAAGTGTTACCTCTTCACTGTAGAAGGTTTAATTTTTAGGCATAACAGAGTTATTAACAAAAAAGAAAAAGTTATTATACTGGTGTGTTAATACTACTCAAATACCATTATATGTAGAACCTCACCAAATCTTACCAAATAATACCCTATGTATCTCTTTCTGTATCTACATGTCTACATTTATCTACCTAGGGTTTATCTACCAGTAAATTACTGGGAATCAATTAAGCTTTTGAAAAGTATTTTAAGAATTTATGGTCACAGAAATATTGTTATTATATTTCAACTAGGAATTTATATCTTGGCAAACTTTTACATGTCTAATTTGTTCTCCTTGAGTTTTCTTTTTTTTTTTTTAAGCAGGAGGCACAAAGGAACAGGGTCATAGCTGTCCATGCCCTGAAGCATCAGAGTTTTATTCATTAAGAATAATATTTTGTGTCATACTTTGTTTGTAGTATCACTATTTTCCATTTTAATCTTGTACTGTATCTAAAACCTATGTTTCTGCACACAAAAAAATACCTAATGAAATTTTGGACCTTTTTTGAGGGTTTTGAACTTCATTGGCTGGATTAAAAGGAGGGTTTCTTCAGTGTTCAAAGCCACATCTGTGGTACATACTCTTTTATTTTTGATATTTGATTTTGCTTGTCAACATTGTTCTGAGTTTTGCTGTTGATCTTAGATTCTATTGTTCGATTGCTTATGTCATGAGTGGATGGAGTAGTATGAGCATTGGATAGATTATTTGCACATTTCTTGAAATCGATTGTTACGATATTTCATACCATAAACTCTTTGGCCATGATAACTATGAAAGAATCTCAGGAATCTGAAGTTCTGCCTCTGGCTGTCTCATCAAATCTAGTAAATCTGTACTCCTTGCCCAGAAGGTTTAATCATTTCAAGTGTCATCAACTCGCAGGTATATTGAAAAGTATAAAGCGAAATATTTCCCTGTAAATCGATATTTGCATAATACTGCTAACTTGTTTTCTTACGAGGTCATTCATTTCGCTTTACAAATCCATTTCGTACTTGTTATCAGATCCCTGTCCGGGCGCATTGTTGGAGGAGTTTGGTGGTTCTTTACCCTGATCATAATCTCCTCCTACACGGCTAACTTAGCTGCCTTCCTGACCGTGGAGAGGATGGTATCTCCCATTGAAAGTGCGGAGGATCTCTCTAAGCAGACAGAAATTGCTTATGGAACGTTAGACTCTGGCTCCACTAAGGAATTTTTCAGGGTAAGAGATTCTGCTTCCTAACTTCCGATTTTGTTCTTGTAATTAAACTCTGTGCCCCCTTGCCCCTCCTTCCGTGGTCTACACAAAAGTGCAGTGTGCAAGTAACTTCCTTCCCTGTCTCTAATTCTATTTCTGTTTTTTTTTAATTTTTATTTTATATTGGACTATAGCTGATGTACAGTGTTGTGTTACTTTCAGGTGTACAGCAAAGTGATTCAGTTATACATATACATATAATTTATTCTTTTGCAAATTCTTTTCCCATTTAGCTTATTACAGAATATTGAGTAGAGTTCCCTGTGCTATACAGTAGGTCTTTGTTGGTTGTCTATCTCATATATAGTAGAGAGTAGAGTGTATGTTAATCCCAACCTCCTAATTTATCCCACCTGCCCTTTCCCCTTTGGTAACCATAAGTTTGTTTTCTATGTCTGTTTTTAACCTTGACTCTACCCCGCTCCCTTCCCTACCGCTTATCCTTTTGTTTGATTCCTGACTCCTTTGGAGAAAAACACTTTGTTGCAAAGAAATCTAGTTTTAAAAAAAAATTGATTGTCTTTTTGGAACAAAATTGAAGCAAAGTATAGTTAAATTTAGGTGATTATTTTTAAAAGAAAAGGATGTTGTATTTCGTTTTACGTTAAAGCATGACTTCCATCTATCTTACATAATTTACAGTTGAAAACTCACTTTCCAATCCGTTATGTTAATTCTAAGTCAGGAAACAGATTGTGTTCATATGTGGAAATTCCAAACTTTCTGTTAAACCCTCCAAGAAAAGGCTAGCAAAGGCCTTCAACTTCTCGACTTTTAAAATGGGAATCATAATTACAACGTGTCTATTAAATGTATTTTAGTTTTAAAAGATCTGTGGCCTTATTATGGTCTCTGTTTATGGGCACCAGTCCAGAGGCTGATGTTGGTATAACTTTCTTTCATTATACTATTATCTCTCTATAAGAACTCATTCTATTAAAACACTTAAATATAGCAGATAAACTTTGGTATTGACATTAAGCCAAACACGGAGCGTATGATGATCTCTGATAGTCCATCTTTGGGTGTGCCTAACTTTGAGTGAGATCCAGGCCGGTTTACTTCTGCATTAGGATTTAGGACTTTCAACTTCCAGTTGAAGTAGTAGACTGTAATTTGAAGACTGTCTCCTTCTGCATTGCCACTGGTCTCTTTTCCAAATAACATCAGTTGTGCTCCAGATATCACGGGAGAAAAAGTGGTGTTGTCAGACGGCTGCCAACAGAAAATAACTTGGCTGTACGTGGGGTGGGCAGGACCTTGACTCTTCCACTAGGTACCGCGACGTAAGCTGAGAGCGTGGTCCATCTGTCAGCGGGTACTTTGATTTTGATGCTGCGTATGAATGTTGTAATGCAGATTTGTTACTAATGACAATTTACTGCTACTTCTGAAAATAGTTGCAATACTCTTAATATAACACAGTGCTCTAGCCTGATCATAACAGTGGACCTATTAAAATAGATTAGAATATCGCATGATTCTCAATTAGAAGTGTAGTTTGAAACATTTTTAAATTGTTTGTGTCCCGATAGGTCTTGCTTCTATTTTACTGGTAATTTTATTGGTATTCCGCGCTCTTGAAGTAAATGAGCCCTGAGAATGAGGCAGAGACTTGTTAGATCATATGGTTTACTTAGTGCTCCTTATATTGACGGAAATAACCTTAATTGTTTCCAGACACTGTCTGTTGAGAGTTACTCTCGTTAGCTTGTTTGGACAACGAGAGGGCCAACTGTGCTCAGCAACTGCACTTTCAGGATCTCAGAGCTTTTCAGTGTACCTGAACTCGATCATAGAAACACGCGCCTTAATCAGCGGGATGCCAAGATTTCATGATTAGAATATGCAAATTCCCCAGGAGAGAGGGTGAGAAGGCTGTGTGACTCTGGGCAAAGGATGCCGCTACTCTTGTGTTTCAGCTCAGTAACACCATGGAGACCATGGTCCCCATGTGCAGCGCACACACACACTCACACACACACACATGCACGCGTGCACACACGCTGACATATCTGTGGGGTGCCATGCGCCTATATAGGATTGTGGTGCTTTCCTTCCCTAGCATAATAGAGAAGTGATGTGAGTATTTAGGCAACCTGATAACCTTTATGAGTACAGTTTCCCAAAGCAGTTTCTTATGCGTCATCTCTGACTCTCACAGTATTTCTGTCTGATAGTTGGGGCGATCACTTTTGTTTGCATGTTGTGCGTTATTAAATTTAAGCTCGGATACATGTGAGGACTTGACCAAATTCTAGTAGATAACAAGCGTGCTGAGGCCTTTTACTCCTAAAGAGTGCTTTCCGTACACTGTGTTTCCTTCCTTCCTCCGGATTTACTTTGCTGCTCTCCTGCTGTGTTTCGGTCACCTCCGTGTTGGCGTATGTCACGTTAGAGGATTATAATGGTGGAAATCCAGACGGGGCCTCACAGTTCCTCTCAATATACCTTCAAAAGGAATTGTTGATGCATGACCTTGGCTAGGTCTCAGTGCTATAGCATAGCAGTCAGCTACTCCTTATCTAGAGAAGGAAGGTGTGGGCTCAAAAGTACTTAAAAGCCACACTGTTCATTCTGTTTGTACCAGTGAAGGGAGGCTAATGGAAGAGCACACATCGCCAAAGTGAATAGGAGCATGCCTGTTAATCCCACCATTAAAACATGGCATGGCTGTGATTTGGGAAAGTATGTACAAAAGGTATGTTTCTTTAAAAGTTGGATTAAGTAAAAAGGTGCTGCTAAATTGAGTAATTTTGAATAGTTTTTCTAACTGTATTAATGTTGGATAATTGGGTACCACGGTGACAATAGTGAAGGCAATCTTAATTGTGCTTCTGACTCTCAGAGATGTTTTCAGAGATACTCTGGCTTGCAGCAGTAGCCATCGCATCTCATACCTTTCCCCACAGGGTTTATTGCTTTAGTATATGGAAATTGAGTAACAAATTCCTTTTTGTAAAAAAAAGAATTTCTCTTATAGAGTGTTATTCTAAACGTATTGGATGAGATTAAGCTGATTCATAGACATTATAAAGGCAAAATATAATTGATTTTCATTTTTCCCCTTAAAACCTAGGTTATATTCTACAATCTGTCTATTAGCAGTAGTCTGGTTGAATTTCTAAGCTTACGGTGGAAAGAGGCACAAAGGAAATGCTCCTTGCTTCTGTTGCTAAAATTAACATTCACCACACACTTGGGTCGTCCTCTCTCTCAACTGTCCTCTAACCTCAGGGGCGTTTGGGGCTCCTGGAAGGTGGGTGCAGGACAGGGTGAGTGATGGCAGATGGACCATCGTGGTGCCTGATCCTCCAGGAGTGGGGATGCAGAGGGAGTGGGCTGGCCCCAGACTGAGGACAGGTACTGTGCCTTTTGTTCTCTGGCCGTCTCTTATATTTAATACTTACTCTAATGCCCGAGACAGCTCGTTACACGTGGAAGACACAACTTGTACCAGTTGCTAATACTTAACGTTCTAACAGTTATCTTATGTTTCCTAATATGGCTTCATTTGGCGTCACTGATAGTTTTTTGTTTCTTATGCTGTTTATGAAGAGGGGTTTTATCGTTTATATTATTATAAACTCTCTACTCTCACAGTGTCTATCAGAAAGTCAACTTTCTGATTTTATCACAGCAGGAGCTTTGGATTTAGCCATTGGAGAAACTGATTGGAGAAGGTGGTCACTGTCTGAATTTTAAAGATGTATAACTAACTAAAAGATGGAAAAATAACTGGTTTAAGACCATTTAGCGATTAAAGGGCCAGTTTTAAAACAATTCGGAGTTCTGAGAGCCTAGTCTTTTGTCCCAGTATTAACTAATGATACATTAATGATAATTAACTAAAGAGACATCTTTGAAGGGATGAAAGCATCTTATATCAAATTATAAGAAGAATATTTCATCTCATTTATAGGAATCTGTTTTGTCATCGTTAGGATGATAATTACTCAATTTAAATCTAAAGATTTTTTAAATCAGATTTCAGGTACATAATTTAATAATTATGGGTTATATTAATTTTTTTTTTTTTTTTTTAGCGATACGCGGGCCTCTCACTGTTGTGGCCTCTCCCGTTGCGGAGCACAGGCTCCGGACGCGCAGGCCCAGCGGCCATGGCTCACGGGCCCAGCCGCTCCGCGGCATGTGGGATCCTCCCGGACCGGGGCACGAACCCGCGTCCCCTGCATCGGCAGGCGGACTCTCAACCACTGCGCCACCAGGGAAGCCCTATATTAATATTTTTTTAGGGAAGTCAGCGTGTGTGCATTAGTTTCAGAATTCCAATTTCAGCTGTAAATTTTCTAATTTAAAAATCTATATGTTCTTTAAGTGATACTCGGTAAAACAAATATGAATGGAATATTTACTTTGTTGTGCTAGAGAGAGGAAATAGGGGACAATCTTGTAACCAACAAGAGGTGTGAGGAAATAGACCCCGCATCTTCCTCTTCCAGAGTTTTCTGCTCTCGGAACCCGTGTACATCCTCATATAGAGTGAAAGGTAAAGTCTGACTCACTTTGGAGCTGCTGTTCTTGCCTAATTATAGCGCCACTGTAACACACCTATAATTAAGAAAGAATTAGGCTATCAATTATACACCACTAATTTTAGACTTTCACATTTTGATAATTTCTTCTCTCTATAAAAGAGGACAGATCTTGAATTAGATGAGCAGAAGATGATTTTGTAAGAACTATGTGCATTATTTTCCTACAGAAACTTAGATGTGGGGAATAGAAAATGGCTTTATAAATAAACCTACCATTGGCCTGTCAATCCATGAAACAGAAGTATTAACTTGCGAAAAGGAAGTACTTCATGCCTATCCTAAATCCCCACACTGCAATCTGTTTATCTTACCCTGTGTGTCTCTGAGTAAGTGGTCTCCTTTAATTATGCTGGCGTTGGAAGGAAGAGATTCTAAAATATGGTCAATATAAAGGTATTCCCCTTC